AGAGACACACACAGAGACACGGAGACACGCAGAGAGACACAGAGAGAGACACGCAGAGAGACACACAGAGACACGGAGACACGCAGAGAGACACACACAGAGACACGGAGACACACAGAGACACACAGAGACATGCAGAGACACGGAGAGAGACACAGAGACACACAGAGACACACAGAGACACGCAGAGAGTCACACAGAGACACGGAGACACACAGAGAGACACGCAGAGACACGGAGAGAGACACAGAGACACACAGAGAGAGACACGCGGAGAGACACACAGAGAGAGACACACAGAGACACATGCGGAGACACGCAGAGACACACAGAAAGACACGCAGAGAGACACGGAGAGTCACACAGACACACACTGTGTAGAGTGTAGAGTGATGAGTGACTCACTGTGTAGAGTGATGAGTGACTCACTGTGTAGAGTGATGAGTGACTCACTGTGTAGAGTGATGAGTGACTCACTGTGTAGAGTGATGAGTGACTCACTGTGTAGAGTGTAGAGTGACTCACTGTGTAGAGTGATGAGTGACTCACTGTGTAGAGTGTAGAGTGACTCACTGTGTAGAGTGTAGCGTGATGAGTGACTCACTGTGTAGAGTGATGAGTGACTCACTGTGTAGAGTGATGAGTGACTCACTGTGTAGAGTGTAGAGTGACTCACTGTGTAGAGTGATGAGTGACTCACTGTGTAGAGTGATGAGTGACTCACTGTGTAGAGTGATGAGTGACTCACTGTGTAGAGTGATGAGTGACTCACTGTGTAGAGTGATGAGTGACTCACTGTGTAGAGTGATGAGTGACTCACTGTGTAGAGTGATGAGTGACTCACTGTGTAGAGTGATGAGTGACTCACTGTGTAGAGTGATGAGTGACTCACTGTGTAGAGTGATGAGTGACTCACTGTGTAGAGTGATGGGTGACTCACTGTGTAGAGTGATGAGTGACTCACTGTGTAGCGTGATGAGTGACTCACTGTGTAGAGTGATGAGTGACTCACTGTGTAGAGTGATGAGTGACTCACTGTGTAGAGTGATGAGTGACTCACTGTGTAGAGTGATGAGTGACTCACTGTGTAGAGTGATGAGTGACTCACTGTGTAGAGTGATGAGTGATGAGTGACTCACTGTGTAGAGTGATGAGTGACTCACTGTGTAGAGTGATGAGTGACTCACTGTGTAGAGTGATGAGTGACTCACTGTGTAGAGTGATGAGTGACTCACTGTGTAGTGTGTAGAGTGACTCACTGTGTAACGTGATGAGTGACTCACTGTGTAGAGTGACTCACTGTGTAACGTGATGAGTGACTCACTGCGCTTGCTGTGATGAGTGACTCACTGTGTAGAGTGATGAGTGACTCACTGTGTAGAGTGATGAGTGACTCACTGTGTAGAGTGATGAGTGACTCACTGTGTAGAGTGATGAGTGACTCACTGTGTAGTGTGTAGAGTGACTCACTGTGTAACGTGATGAGTGACTCACTGTGTAGAGTGATGAGTGACTCACTGTGTAGAGTGATGAGTGACTCACTGTGTAGAGTGATGGGTGACTCACTGTGCTTGCTGTGATGAGTGACTCACTGTGCTTGCTGTGATGAGTGATGAGTGACTCACTGTGATGAGTGACTCACTGTGTAACGTGATGAGTGACTCACTGTGCTTGCTGTGATGAGTGACTCACTGTGCTTGCTGTGATGAGTGATGAGTGACTCACTGTGATGAGTGACTCACTGTGTAACGTGATGAGTGACTCCCTGTGATGAGTGACTCACTGTGATGAGTGACTCACTGTGATGAGTGACTCACTGTGTAGAGTGACTCACTGTGTAATGTGATGAGTGACTCACTGTGTAGAGTGATGAGTGACTCACTGTGATGAGTGACTCACTGTGATGAGTGACTCACTGTGATGAGTGACTCACTGTGTAGATTGACTCACTGTGTAACGTGCTGAGTGACTCACTGTGTAGAGTGATGAGTGACTCACTGTGTAGAGTGACTCACTGTGTAACGTGATGAGTGACTCACTGTGATGAGTGACTCACTGTGTAGAGTGACTCACTGTGTAGAGTGACTGACTGTGTAACGTGATGAGTGACTCACTGTGTAGAGTGACTCACTGTGATGAGTGACTCACTGTGATGAGTGACTCACTGTGATGAGTGACTCACTGTGATGAGTGACTCACTGTGTAACGTGATGAGTGACTCACTGTGATGAGTGACTCACTGTGATGAGTGACTCACTGTGATGAGTGACTCACTGTGTAACATGATGAGTGACTCACTGTGATGAGTGACTCACTGTGCTTGCTGTGATGAGTGATGAGTGACTCACTGTGATGAGTGACTCACTGTGATGAGTGACTCACTGTGATGAGTGACTCACTGTGATGAGTGACTCACTGTGATGAGTGACTCACTGTGTTTACTGTGTAACGTGATGAGTGACTCACTGTGTAGAGTGATGAGTGACTCACTGTGTAGAGTGATGAGTGACTCACTGTGTAGAGTGATGAGTGACTCACTGTGTAGCGTGATGAGTGACTCACTGTGTAGAGTGATGAGTGACTCACTGTGTAGAGTGATGAGTGACTCACTGTGTAGAGTGATAAGTGATGAGTGACTCACTGTGTAGAGTGATGAGTGACTCACTGTGTAGAGTGATGAGTGACTCACTGTGTAGAGTGATGAGTGACTCACTGTGTAGCGTGATGAGTGACTCACTGTGTAGAGTGATGAGTGACTCACTGTGTAGAGTGATGGTGTGACTCACTGTGTAGAGTGATGAGTGATGAGTGACTCACTGTGTAGAGTGATGAGTGACTCACTGTGTAAAGTGATGAGTGACTCACTGTGTAGAGTGATGAGTGACTCACTGTGTAGAGTGATGAGTGACTCACTGTGTAGAGTGATGAGTGACTCACTGTGTAGAGTGATGAGTGACTCACTGTGTAGAGTGATGAGTGACTCACTGTGTAGAGTGTAGAGTGATGAGTGACTCACTGCGTAGCGTGATGAGTGACTCACTGTGTAGAGTGATGAGTGACTCACTGTGTAGAGTGATGAGTGACTCACTGTGTAGAGTGATGAGTGACTCACTGTGTAGAGTGATGAGTGACTCACTGTGTAGAGTGATGAGTGACTCACTGTGTAGAGTGATGGGTGACTCACTGTGTAGAGTGATGAGTGACTCACTGTGTAGCGTGATGAGTGACTCACTGTGTAGAGTGATGAGTGACTCACTGTGTAGAGTGATGAGTGACTCACTGTGTAGAGTGATGAGTGGACTCACTGTGTAGAGTGATGAGTGACTCACTGTGTAGAGTGATGAGTGACTCACTGTGTAGAGTGTAGAGTGATGAGTGACTCACTGCGTAGAGTGATGAGTGACTCACTGTGTAGAGTGATGAGTGACTCACTGTGTAGAGTGATGAGTGACTCACTGTGTAACGTGATGAGTGACTCACTGTGTAGCGTGTAGAGTGACTCACTGTGTAGAGTGATGAGTGACTCACTGTGTAACGTGATGAGTGACTCACTGTGTAGCGTGTAGAGTGACTCACTGTGTAGAGTGATGAGTGACTCACTGTGTAGAGTGATGAGTGACTCACTGTGTAGAGTGATGAGTGACTCACTGTGTAGAGTGATGAGTGACTCACTGTGTAGAGTGATGAGTGACTCACTGTGTAGAGTGATGAGTGACTCACTGTGTAGAGTGATGGGTGACTCACTGTGTAGAGTGATGAGTGACTCACTGTGTAGCGTGATGAGTGACTCACTGTGTAGAGTGATGAGTGACTCACTGTGTAGAGTGATGAGTGACTCACTGTGTAGAGTGATGAGTGACTCACTGTGTAGAGTGATGAGTGACTCACTGTGTAGAGTGATGAGTGACTCACTGTGTAGCGTGATGAGTGACTCACTGTGTAGAGTGATGAGGTGACTCACTGTGTAGAGTGTAGAGTGATGAGTGACTCACTGCGTAGAGTGATGAGTGACTCACTGTGTAGAGTGATGAGTGACTCACTGTGTAGAGTGATGAGTGACTCACTGTGTAACGTGATGAGTGACTCACTGTGTAGCGTGTAGAGTGACTCACTGTGTAGAGTGATGAGTGACTCACTGTGTAGAGTGATGAGTGACTCACTGTGTAGAGTGATGAGTGACTCACTGTGTAGAGTGATGAGTGACTTACTGTGTAGCGTGATGAGTGACTCACTGTGTAGCGTGATGAGTGACTCACTGTGTAGAGTGATGAGTGACTCACTGTGTAGAGTGACTCACTGTGTAGAGTGATGAGTGACTCACTGTGTAGAGTGATGAGTGACTCACTGTGTAGAGTGATGAGTGACTCACTGTGTAGAGTGATGAGTGACTCACTGTGTAGAGTGATGAGTGACTCACTGTGTAGAGTGATGAGTGACTCACTGTGTAGCGTGATGAGTGACTCACTGTGTAGCGTGATGAGTGACTCACTGTGTAGAGTGATGAGTGACTCACTGTGTAGTGTGTCTCACTGTGTAGAGTGATGAGTGACTCACTGTGTAGAGTGATGAGTGACTCACTGTGTAGTGTGACTCACTGTGTAGAGTGATGAGTGACTCACTGTGTAGCTTGATGAGTGACCTCACTGTGTAGCGTGATGA